CATAGGGAGTAAGACATGGACATATTGAAAAGAGATTAAAGAGAAGGTCTAAACAGATTTTTACAACAATGATTATTGCTGTTGTTAAAGTGTCTTCAAGTTGGTTTTAACTCATAGTTACCCTGTATAGGGTTGCCAAGGAGCAGCTGGTGAGCTTGAATCTCCAACCCTCTGATTCAAAGCAAACTTGCAGTCCAGCACACTAACCCACAGCACCACACTAGGACTCCACAGCAATGATAGGAATATAAGATTTTTATGGATAAACTGATGTATTGAAAGTATCTATTTGGAGATGAAAACTGAGTCAGCTTCAGAAGAAGTTGTGGACTTGTTTTTTCTTGTCAATAACATCTTTAGTCTCAGTTATATAATGCAGTTTCAGTAGAATTCAACACAAAGAACTTAAAAGCAGTCAGTTACAAAGGTTGTTGCTATTGAGTCGGTTCCGACCCAGAGTGACCTTATGCTACACCAGGACTCTGTTACAAAGGTAGTTGAGGGTAAGAAGTCTTACTCTGTAAATGTGCAGAGTTTTAGAAAAATCTCAAACTACACTGGGGGTAGGAAGGTGTCTTAGGTCAGGTGTTCTAGAGAAGCAAAACCAGTGAAACATATATAAGTATATTTATATAAAGAAAAGTTTATTATCTTACAAATGTAGATTCCCAGGTCCCCAACAGAGCTCAATAGTCCTTCCCATATATCCATTATATTACAAGCAGATCACACACCCAACAAAGCATCCCTTCAATTGATTGGCTACTTTCACCACTCATCATAGAGCTCACTATGCCTGCATTAGGGTTCACCACCATGGGAAAAAGTACATCCCAACTGCTAAACTTCTGGAAATCCTGGTCTCCTCAAGTTGACACAAAACACTTAACCGTTACAGAGGGCCTATTTTAGATAGCCATGGGTCTTAAAAAATAAGCCTGTAGAGTACTACTAAGGAATATAAGCATTAATTTCTAGAATCTTAACATTAATTTCTTGACTTCTGAATGTCTAAATTCTAATTTGTGTGTACTGACAAATTGTGCTTCTTTGTGTTTTTATTTTCATGCTAATAAAGATTAAATAATTAGCTGGACCATTGCTGTTTTAGCCTCTGTCAACAAATTTGATCCACCCTTTGTATGAGCTTGTATATGGTATAGTAATGCTTACTGAAAGTACATCATTGGAAGGAAGGTGATCTGCACTCTGCAAGATAAAGTCCAAAAGTATTGCTACTGTGGTTCCAGTTCATGCATGCACGGGTTTGTTTCAAGCAAAACATGTTTAAATATGTCTCTGCCATCAGTGGAGGGCTGCAGATAAGTTCTCTCAGTAATGTACTTGTCTTGGTCTCATTAGAGTGCCTTCCAAAACAGGTCCAATCAAAACGGGCTTCCAAGAGGATCTGCTGAGCCAGTTAAATTCAAAACAAGAAGGTCAGCTCAGAAGGCTATGGGGACTGTTTTTTGGGATTCCAAAATGGGTAGTCTTTCTAGGTTTTCTCCAAAAACACAGATAAAAATCATGGGAAGCAGTTTGGTGAGAAAAAAGTCAGGAAAGGTGTGCCAAGGATTTTTTTTCTCATGACAGTGTGCCTCTCATTTGAGGGGTAGCAAGGACTGGCCTATGAGAATTTTGTTGGGAAACTCTCTCACCCTGCAGCCTATTCAGGTTTCTAACTTTACTTGAGTCCCTCAAGGATGTCAAAACTCATTTGATATGGTGTCAATCGAAGAACACAGAATTATTTGGCAGAGGTTGTAGAATGTCATCAAATTGGTTCCGACCCATGGTCGCCCTGTGTAGGGTTTCCGAGGAACAGCTGGTGAGCTTGAACCGCCAACCTTGCAGTTCAAACCGACCTTGCAGTCCAGTGCATTAACCCCCAGCGCCACACCAGGTTAGAGAGATGGAAACATAGCCTTCAGAAGTGTATAGATCTAGATGGAAGATATACTGAGAAACCATAGCTTCACATTTTGATTGTTGTTATTAAGTGCTGTCAACTCAATTCCCACCCATAGAGACCCTGTATAAGGTTTCAAAGGAACGGTTGGTGGGCTTGAACTGCCGACCTTGCAGTTCAAATGGCCTTGCAGTCTAATGCATTATTAACCCACAGTGCCACACCACATTTTGATAGCTTTATTTAATAAAGGTTACTATGAGTTGAGCAATACTTTTTTACTTACCTTCATATAGTGACAGTTACTATACTGTGGAAATTCTACTATGGATAGTAAAACTACCCTTCTACAAATATTACATGAGAAAACTTTATATGATTCAATATATGTATGTGTGTAAATCTCTGAGTAAAGCCGTGTGTGTGTATGTGTACACACTTGTCTTAGTCCAATCAAAACAGTGACTTCTGAAGAGATCTGCTTAGCCACAGCCAGTTAAACCAGAGACTCCAGCTCAGAAGGTACACACACAACACACACACACACACAGCTTTACTCAGATTTTTCTATTAAAAGAATTTCTATAAAAAGGGAAATTTAGATGTACCTAATTTGTCTTCCTCTGTTTCTTTCAGTCATTTAGTTGACACAGATCCTTGAAATTTAAAAACATCCCTGTGTATCCAGTATTCAATTATATTGTAATCCTTTAACAAAAATTAACAATGTTGTAAAACACATTTTTTACCTTTGTAATTGCTAATAATAAATTTTTATCAATTAATTTCTAATGGTATTGAGTTCATCTTTAAAATTCTTTTGCTCAAATCACTATTATAAAACATCTAAATTTCTTTCTCCTTTTTTTGTGAGTTGAGTAAAGGTTTACAGAGCAGATCATCAGTTTTACATTCAAGAAATCACACATTTCATTTTCTAATTTTTAAAATTTTGGGTGTAAAAAATTTTAATTTGTTGTAATATTTTCTTAATTTTACCTAATAATTAGAAGCTGTTGACCAAGTGTACTTTTATATTTTATAAAGAAAATGTTAATATATTAGCCTGTATGGTTTCATAGAAAATGTCTTTGTAATTGTTGTTAGTTGCAGAGGAGTTGATTCTGACACCTGGTGACCCATGTGTGCAGAGTAAAAATGCCCCAGAGGGTTTTCGCAGTTGTGACTTTTCAGAAGCATATCTCCAGACGTGTGCCTCTGGAGGCATTCAAACTGCCAACCTTCCTGCTACTGTTCAAGCACTTAACTCTTAGCATCACTCAGGAATTTTGTCATAGAAAAGTTAATGACACTATTTCTTTCTCAGTTGTAGTTCTGTTTAAGAATCTATAATCTTGATCAAAGTTTGATAGGATACAATTATAAAATAATGATACTGAAAATATCCATGCATATCAAGAAAAATGTCACTTCATTTTTAACTTTACAGCCTTGGAAACGCTACGGGGCCGTTCCACTCCATCCCATGGTGTTGATATGAGTCAGAATCAACTCGATGGCAACATTTTTTGTTTTCTTTTAATACATTTGTGTGCCGGGTTTTTTGTTTTACTTTTTATTGTGATTTGGGTGAAAGTTTTGCATAGCAAATTAGTTTTCCATTCAACAGTTCATGCACAAGTTTTTTTCACAAACTGATTACAATCCCACAATGTAACAGCACGCTTCTCACTTTCTCCCTGTTTCCTGAAGAAGTCTTACATCTTTATAGACTTACCTCATGTGTAACAGTTAACAAAAGCTCTACAAATTCACTCAACATCTGTTTGTTTCGGTTGAGTTATGGAACTATTGATTCAATGCAAGTCAAAATGCTCCATCTCACCTTTACACAGCACAGGAGAGTGCTAACATTTGGGAGC